CCTATTTGTGTCTGAGCAAAGGTTCTGCCCAGTGTCTTAGAATATCCTTGTATCATAGAGCAGGATGATTCTCTTCTGTGCCCATATGACTATTGCCTGTGTAATGAGTTCATTTGTTTTATCAGCTGAAATCTCCTCTTGGCCAGCCCACCATGAAGAGCTCTTATCAAGTCTCCTCCTAGAGGAGGTTATGGTGAGTAGGTAGTATGTACGTTCCATTCTCTTTTGCCTTTTTTAGTGGTGCCACTCATTGACTGTTTTCCAAAGGCTCTCTAACTCTTTGAAAACCACTTCCCCACTTATTGGGTAGATGGGTATTTCTTGAAGAGCAAGGTTAGGAAACCAAACACAAAGCAAAAGTTTCCCTTTCTGTTTGTAATACAAACTTTCAGCCATACCTCTTATTAGGATAACTGGAATATAGAGAGGTGGGAAGAGATGACAAAGTATTACCTGGCTACAAAATGATTATAAAAATGTATTCTTTTAACATTTTTTTTGTTCTTTTTACTTATACATGACAGTAGAACATATTTTGACATATCATACATATATGGAGTATAACTTACCATTTTTGTGGTTGTACAAGATGTGAAATTACACTGATCATGTATTCATATATGAACATAGGAAAGTTATGTCCAATTCATTCAAAAGTCTTTCCCATTCCTATCGCCCTCTTCGTTCCCCCCATTTCCCATTGTCCAATCTGGTGAACTTCCACTTCTCCCTCCCTACTGCCTATTGTGAGTCAGCATCCACATATCAAAGAGGACCTTCAGCCTTTGGATTGTGGGATTGGCTTATTTCACTCAGCACAATAGTCTCTAGTTCCAAGAATTTACCAGCAAATGCCATAATTCCATTCTTCTTTATAGATGAGCAATATTCCATTGTGTATATGTACCACATTTTCTTATCCATTCATCTATTGAAGGGGGAACCTAGGTTGGTTCCATAACAGCTGTTGTGAATTGAGCTGGTATAAAAATTGATGTGGCTGCATCACTATAATATGCTGATATTTACTCTGTTGCATATAGGCTGAGGAGTGGGATATCTGGGTCAAATGGTGGCTTCATTCCAAGTTCTCTGAGGAATCTCCATACTGTTCTCCAGAGGAGTTTTACCAATTTGCAGTCCCACCAGCAATGTATGAGTGTATCTTTTTCCCACATCCTCAACCATATTTATTGCTACTTATATTCTTAATAATTGCCATTCTGACTGGAGTGAGATTAAATCTCAGTGTAGTTTTTAACTTGCATTTCTCTAATTGCAAGTGATGTGGAACATTTTTTCATATATTTGTTGACTGATAATATTTCTTCTTCTGTGAAGTGTCTGTTCAGTTCCTTTACCCATTTATTGATCGGTTATTTGGGGGGTTTTTGGGCATTAAGTTTTTTGAGTTCTTTATATCCTGGAGATTAATGCTCTATCTGAAGTGCAGGTGACAAAGATTTTCTCCCATTCTGTAGGCTTTCTGTTTACATTCTTGATTGTTGCCTTTGCTGTGAAAGCTTTTTAGTTTGATACCATCCCATTTATTAATTCTTGATTTTACTTCTTGCATTTCAGGGTCTTATTGAGGAATTTGGTTCCTAATCTGACATTGTTTTGCTCAGATTTTTTTTACTGTTGTGACTTAAAGATCCAACCAGAACAAGTGTAGAGGAAGAAAAGTTTATTGAGGGCTCACAGTTTCAGAGGTTTCAGTCCATTGACAGCTGGCTCCATTCCTTGGGGCTTGAGATGAGGCTGAACATCATGTCAGAAGAGTGTGTTGGAGGGAAACAGCTCACAGGATGATCAGAAAGCAGAGAGATATAAATACCTACCCCCTAACCACACTCCCAATGCCCTACCTCCTCTAGCCACACCCTACCCACCTTCAGTCACCACTCAGTTAATCCCATCAGGGGATCGACTCACTGATAAGACTCTCAAAACCTGACCACTTCGCATCTGACTCTTTTCCCAGTTTCTCGCATGTGAGCTCTGGGGGGACACCTCACATCCAAACCATAAAAGACAAGATGGAGAATTGTGTCTACTTTTTCTTTCTGTAGGCACTTTGAGTTGAATTTTGTGCAGGGTGAGAGATAGGGGTTCAATTCCATTTTCTTACATATGGATTTATAAAATGGATTCTTTTTAAAGAGCCAAAATAGGAGACCACATCCATTGAGTCACTGAGTTGTGCCCAAAGGTGACAATTGCCAAGAGGGAGAAACTCCTGGGGAAAAGTTTTATCTTCAAGCTGAGTTGCTCAGGGCTGACTTATTTCTGCCTCAGGCTCATGCCTAGATGGTGGAGTCAGAGCCAGACAGTCATCCACGGACCTGTGTCAGCAGCCTCCTATAACAAATATTCTCCACATTCCACTCTGGTTCCCCTCCAGGCCTTACAAACACACACACACACACACACACACACACACACACACACACATACACTTCTCTGCTTGGTTTTATGTGATCAACCACTTTGATCACATAAACAGAAAGCAGTGCTATACTGTTTCTTACCTTTACTATGTATGCCCTGTCAGATCAAGCCAAATACCCAACCTGCCATTCTAGTTCTGTAATCGGACATATTCTTCCTCTGTGACCAACATGGCTCTCCACTGGGGTTAGGCCGTGTTCTTCATAGTCTCCCACGAGTGCCTTCTTTCTTCTCACTTTCCTTTATGAAGTACTCTGCTCCTCCCTGCCTAAAGTCAGCACTTGCCATATCTATTCAAATTCTTCCCAGTCATTAGACCCATCCCTGATTCCAACCTTTCTAGTTCTGCTGTCCCAGTGCCCTCCTAGCCACAGCAATTTCTCAATTCTGTGAAGCATTCATTGCACCAATTCCTTGTGTACCAATTCCACATTGGCTGCTATTGGTTTCTGTCATATCATTTTTTCATGGGTAGACATTTGGTCATAAGAAAAATACTAGTAGGAGACGTTTTTATTTCTCCACTTGTACCCTTCACAGTAAGGTCATATAGGAATCAATAAATATTTGCTGGAATTAAAATTACTGAGCAATTATTTTTTTTTCTTTCTTTGTTCTGTCACCCAGAAAGGCATCCAGGCACCCCATCAAGGACTAATTGAATCAGAATCTCTGGGGATAGGGCTCAGACTTTCACAGTTTTAGAAGCTTCCTGGGTAATTTTTAATATGTTGTGGTGCTGGGAATCATTGTTCTCTATTATGGCTCACCTTGAGTTATGATTAATTTTTCTATAATAAATACTTGTTTTAAAAACCAGAATTTGCCAGGCACGGTGGCAAATGCCTATAATCCCAACAGCTGGGAGGCTGAGGCAGGAGGATCGCAAGTTCAAAGACAGCCTCAGCAAAAGCAAGGCACTAAGCAACTCAGTGAGACCCTATCTCTAAATAAAAAATACAAAATAGGGCTGGGGATGCAGCTCAGTGGAAGAGTGCTCCTCCAGTTCAATCCCTGGTACCCTGCCCCCCACCCCCACAAAAAACAGAATTTGTTCTAAAAAGATGGGTATACTAAGGAACCATCTGAATATCATGTAAATTTCTTGTTTGCTTATGTGTGAGATTATCTGGAAGAAACATTAGAACATAGAAAACTTCACATACAAGCCAGGGGGAGGACAAAAAACATGTATGTGTGCATACACTTGTATGCACACACATAGTTCAAATGTTGATCAATTTACCACCTGCTATAAGCCACATCCATCCACCCTATGCCCTTGCTTTCTGTCTGAGAACTTTCCTTCACCATAACTAGCAACCAGCTACTTCCAAAAACAAACTGTGGGTCTTTCACAAAGGAAAGTACTATATTTACTATCATATTTATGTATTTCTTAACCATTTAACATGAGCAGAACCATGTTACCATTTTTATTAATTATCTTTTTCGTGTGTCTCTGACATATTACAGCCCTGACTCATCTTGCTCATAAGCTCTGTGGTTTCTATTGCCAGTTTTTCATAGCAAGGTGATTTTTGGAAACACACCTGTGGTGTAATTGCAGAACTGACTGCACTGAGCACAGTATCTCTATAACATGTGTTAAATAAATGGAACACTTAAGAAAATATTAAAAAACAGGAGACTAAGTGGAATTATTATAAGGAATTTTTTTTAATTTGACCTTCTTATAAAATCAAGTATAAATCTACAAACTAAAGGCGACCATTTGGCTTGGAATTACATAATGCTCTGGAATTTCTGGATGGAAAGAAATAAAAGTGGGAATTCATAACTCACTTGAATCTAAAGTATGAAATATGATATGTCAAGAGCTTTGTAATGTTTTGAACAACCAATAAAAAAAATAAATAAATAAACAAATTTTTTAAAAGTGAAAGAAATAAAAGTTGTTTTCATAGAAGCATGAGTCAATAAGGAAATGTGAATCAATAAACTAATGCACAAGAGTCTTTACAAACTGAAATTAAATTCACATCTCTCCTGTGAACGTCTTATTTTAATAAGAGAGAAATGATTTCCAACTACTAAATATTTTCATCCTTTGAACAATTAATATTTGTTGTGAAACATCCTTTTCTTGTTTTAAAACCACTATTAAAGATTTTGACTGAAGCCTTGCAAAGAGGTACTCACTATGTTTTTTGTTGATTTGTTTTGTGAAAAAGTTTTGAATAAGTGACTTCTATGATATTTGCTTTGGACAGAATGTCATACCCCTGACCACACAGCCATCTTCAGTTCTAATGAAAGCCTTGCTGTTTAAAACGAAAATGGTGTTAATAATATCATTGAGACATCTGAAAGGCAAGTCAGGGTAGTGTTCTCTGCCAAACATTTCCAAGTTCTCACTCCATGGGCATGTTGCAGGATTGCATTCCCAGACCTCCTGGAGGTCTGGCCCATTAGCTGAGGTGGATTGGTAACAGGATGATATTCAGGAACATTGTGCTATCAATGGGGAAGTTCATCTTGAATGAACTCACATGTGAGCAAGTTGTGAAAGGTAAACATATGTATTTTATTCCTAAAATAGCAACCAGAATTTTTCTTTACATATAATGGTTAAAATATGCACATGAACAAACACATAAACACACACACGCACACTTGTGTGCAGGTACACAAATACAATGTACTGTCTACAAGAATTTTGCCTGTTGTACAAACAGGCAACTAAGGAAACTGAGATCCTAAAAGGTAAATTATCTCATTCAAGGTCTAAAATAGACTTAAATAATAAACACATTAAATAGCTTTCTTTTGTTTTGTTTCTTATCTTTATGAAACCTGCCATGAATAAGCCATTTCCAAAGTATATTCAGTATTTGTCTTGACAATCCAACATCACACTCATACTCCCAACCCTGCTCCTGAAATTGGATCTAACCCCTGTCCCTCAGGATTATGCAGAGGGAGGGGTGACTGAGTCAGGGAGCCAGGAGGTAGCCTTGGAAATGAGAGCAGCCCACACCCAGCAAGGTCCCACCAGCCCCAGACTTGTCACAGAGGCCACAAGATGGTTTGCAGGTTTCTTTCATCTTGCCAAGGGTGACAAGAAGCCAGACTTTTGCAGGCCACGAATGAGTCAAAGAGTCAGTAGATCAGCCATTTTAAAGTCTCCTCATCACATGGCATCTTCGATTTCTCCTCAGCTTAGGTGTCACTCCTGGCAAGAGGAAAAAGTCCTCCAACACACGGTGGCTGTTCCTCCTCATTCCATACCACTTCCCATGCATTCTTCTTCTGGAACTCACCTCTCAGCCCCAGGACCCAGGACAACAGTGAGAAATGGGCATCCTGAGAAAGATGGTTGGAACACTTGTTACTAGGGAACAATGGCTGACATTTCTTGACAATTTGAATTGAGCCAGGGGTTCTAGGGGCTTCACGTGTTCTAGCTCATCTTCTCCTGAAACCAAGGTGTGTGCTATTACTAATCCTGATCTATAGATGAGGAAATAAGGCTCAGGGCATGAGGAGAAAGGTTTGTCTTCCAGCTGTATTGCCCTGTGCCCTTTTCCTTCCCTGAACTGATCCTCCAACCCTAAATTGGGTGTTCAGTGCTCTCTCTCCTCTTCCCCGAGTCTGAACTTGGTCTCTAGAACAACTCTGCAGCTCAATTTACAACTGTCCTTTGTACAGCCTGTCGCTTCTCTTCCAGTATTTGTTCAGTCATCTCTTTTTAAATTATGAACTGAACTCTGTATCCTTTTGAGTGAATTTCAGGGCTAAACAACAAGTAGAAGATATTTCGTAAGAACCTGGAGCCTTCCTGTTGCCCCTGGAATCACAGTGGGTAAAGAGCCTGTTGTGGTCCTATTACAGGCCTGCCCCTTCACCTGAACAGCAGAGGGCGCTGTGCGGCTGTGGCCTCATAGGAAGGAGGTCGCCCTTTCTGCCTTCCCAGATGGGGTTCTCCCCCCTAGAATCCACACTTGAAAGGAACTGCCTGCTTTTCACGTCTCTGCAGCCCTCCTCCTCTCATCTTGGGGCCACCTGACAGATCTGTTTCAGTCCTGATTCTAAAAGAAATCTAAACCCTAGATTATTGGAATAAAAGGAGTCTCCACCCACAGTGGGGGCCTCCAAGTTCACTGCAGGTTCTGCTCTCATCTCCCGCCCTCTTTCTCACCCTTGGAATTCTCCTCCTCCCGAAGGTCAGTCTGTAATTTTCTATGGTGGCTTAAGTATTGGCTTTTCCCTGTGGGTTAGCCCTGCCCTGGAGTATGTCCCTTTCTTGTGCTTACCAGACACCCTGGGTGCTTAAGGTCTGGTCATTTAACTCAAGTGACACAGATTTTAAAGAAAATGTACACATTTTCATTTATGTGCCAGGAAATAAAGATGTTCAAGATGTTCTGTTTTCTAAAATATATGCCCCTAAATCCCCTCCCACCTCATTAGAGCATCATGGATCAGGCTATTGTGTACAGAGTGGCCCAGTACAACTTTCAAGTGAAGTTTCTCTTTGAGTTTCTCATACTCACATTTTACCCTCATCGATGCATTAATTTAGATCCATTGGTTGGACTTAATGATGCATTCTAAATGGGGGTAAAAATAACAGAGGTGACAACAAATAAGGATACTGACCAAAAAATGATATATATTTACATATATATGTGTTTACGTGTAGCCTTCCTAGAGATAAACATGTGAAAATCACAACTACAAGGAATTAAATTAACATATTTCACTGAATGTAAGGTTATCAGTTACATCTTTTTTGTTTTGCTAAAAAAAAAAAACTTGTCAATTAATCCATGACATATTTAATTGGTTATAAGATACATTTCAACTTTAAAGGTGTTAAAAGGCAAAGAAAATGCCTATCTTCACATTGAAGAGATGTGGTACTAAAAGTCATACTCAGTACAAGCTAACCCTAAATGGTGACTCTCAGTATATCCAGAAAGCTTGTTTTCAAGGAAGTAGCTCTTAATAAGAATCTATTGGTTGAACAAATAAGTTTTAATTAATATAGCCATGTTGGCAATTTTAGACAATGCCCTAAAAGACAGACAGACAGGTCAAAATCTTCCTCAGTGTTTCCTAATGGAGCAATTCTCACCAAGCTGGGTGACTGTGTACACATCTAATAAGTACACTCCATCTTAACTTCCTGACCCATAAAATGAGTGGGCTGCACTAGAATCTCATCTCCAATTCAACTTTCATTTCCTGCCTCTCATCTTTTATAAATCATAGATCATGGATTCACATTGTCCCATCTCAATGGGCCCAAATATCTAGCTCAAATACACCCAATGTGCAAAAATCTCTCATAAGGTATATTCTGCTGAATTTCTGTTTTAGCAAGAAACTCCAAATTTATAAAATGAAGACATGAGTGAATGAAAGGTGACCTATTGATTGTCTTTGCTAATAGTCCTGGGTACTGAGCTGCAATATTTATGACTGAGGAGGACACTGACCATCCCATGTGTGTCTAAAAGCTTACCTCCGCTGCCCTCGATTTCCCCTTCAGAGAAGACATTCTCATCCTCAAAGCATCTCTTATCTAAAAAAGCAATGACAGAAATATCTCAAAACCATCAGAGGAAACAACAAAAATCCCAAGCCTCAAAATTGTCCTGAAACTTTAAGATCAGTAACTCTGACAAAAGCAGCATCCGATGGCTTAATATAGTGGCAAATAATATGACTTGGGTAAAAGTGGAGATGTGGTTGTGATCAGATTTAGAATTAAAATTAAATTTGTGGCCATGGTTTTTATTCCTTTCACCAATTATGCTCTTACACAGCCTCCTGCTGACCTGATAAAGAGTGAGATGAGAGAGTACAGTTCTCCCCTCACAGCTGATACCCTGAGCTGTGCTCTTAAATACAGCTCCCTGGACTATGCCCTCCCATCAAATTGCCTTGTACTGCTGCTTCCTTTAGCCACATGGAAATCATCTGCAAGGAATTAAGTGAATTCAAATTACCTTGTGATCCATAATGGTTCCAAACAACAAGATGAAGAAACCCTGTGGTAAAATTCAACAGAATGACGAAGATCAGCTTCTCAAACAGTACCACAGCTGTTATTTTAATACCACTGTTCTCCATAACTTCTAGGGCAGCAATCGGACATTAGAAACTGATGCAGACAAAAATTCATTAATGGGTGTTTCCTTTGAGTGTACCTCCTTCTTGGATGAGGATCCCTCTCTTGAGGCTTGATATTTATTGAATGACTACAAATATAAAATAGAATCTTCAACCGTATTAAATCTTCTGAACTTTCTTTCCAAATATTGGAGTAGCTGTTCTTACTTATGAGGACAGTTCACATACACTGAATCTTGTAATCCAAAATCACAATCATGGAAGTCGTCTTAAGAAAATGAAACTTCTTTTCTAGTCTGCTTTGAGTTGCAGTTACTGTTCTGTAAATAGGCAATCATGGGCTCTCAGCTAGTGGAAGAATATTTTTGTATGAAAGAAAGAGAAAGTTACAAAGACCTGAAAGGCCAGGAGGGTCTCTTCACCATCCAAAGATAGTTTAATAGTGAAGAAACACCAGTCAGGTGACTAAAAATGTTAAAGGTGAGTCACAGGGATAGCTTGTTGAGAAAGCAGGATTGGATACAAGTAAAAGTATTTAGGGGGCTGGAGGGACAGCTGGGTTGGCAGAGCACTTGCCTAGTGTGTGCAAAATTCAGGGTTCAAACCTCAGCCCCCAAATCAAAACAATATGGGTATTTTTCTTCCTATCAAGAAAACAGAAATCCAAATGAGCTGAAAAAGAAATATAGAACAAAACATCCTGGAGTTTACTTAAGTTGCAAAGTAAGAAAGAGGATGAGATCATTAGTCACCAGAGTAACTTCTATAGTGGGACAATGCATGTGAATCCAAAAGCTTTTGATTTCCAAAAAATAAGAACAAAAAGAAAGAAAGAAAAAGCTTGAGATGAAATCTTAGAGTAGTTTTGATTTGCATTTCTCTAATTGCTAGAGATGATGAACATTTTTTCATGTTTGTTGATTGATTATATATCCTCTTCTGAGAAGTGTTTGTTCAGTTCCTTGGCCCATTTATTGATTGGATGATTATTATTATTATTATTATTATTAGTTTGATGTTAAAGTTTTTGAGTATTGGCAAGGATGTGGGGAAAGGCACACTCATATATTGCTGGTGGGACTGCAAATTGGCACATCCAATCTGGAAAGCAGTATGGAGATTCCTTGGAAAAGTTGGAATGGAACCACCATTTGATCCATCTGTCCTACTCCTCAGCTTATACCCAAACGACTTAAAAACAGCACACTACAGGGACACAGCCATATCAATGTTTATAGCAGCACAATTAACAGTAGCTAAATTGTAGAATCAACCCAGATGCCCTTCAGTAGATGAATGGATAGAGAAACTTTGGTGTATATATACAATAGACCATTATTCAGCATTAAAAGAGAATAAAATCATGGCATTTGCAGGTAAATGGATGGAGTTGGAGAATATAATGCTAAGTGAAGTAAGCCAATCCCAAAAACCAAAGGCCAAATGTTTTCTTTGATATAAGGAGGCTGACTCATAATAACATTGGAGGGGGAACACAGGAGGAATGGAGGAACTTAGATAGGATAAAGAGGAGGGAGGAGTGGGGGGGATGGGGGTAGGAATGATGGTGGAATGAGTTAGACATCATTACCCTAAGTACATGTCTGAAGACATGAATGTTTTGAAAATACTTTGTGTACGATAAGTGACTTGAAAAATTTAGCTCTATATCTGTAATATGAAATGAATCATATTCTGCCATCATGTGTGACAAATTAGAATAAACAAATAATAAGAAAAACTTGAAACAAAGGTTTTTTTTAATCCAACAGGAAGAGTGAAATAAATATGCTACATAGTTTTTAAAGAATTCTGAGTAACAGAAAGTCAAGAATAATATATTTTTTCTAGAGAAGAAAAAGAAAAAGAAAGATTTCCTAATCTTGTGAAAAATGGAAGGAAGATCAGTATTACAGAGGAAAGGAACCAGGAGAAGGAAGAAGGAGAGGAAAGGGGAAATACCGGGGAATGATATTAGCCAAATCATATTGTTATGTTGTGCGCATATATGAATATATAACAACAAATCCCACTATTATGTACAAGTGTAATGCACCAATAAAACACAGGGAATTAACTAGTTAATGAGCATAGTTTTTAAAAGAAAGAGAAGAATTCTAACTAAGATATGTAAGAGATCTGAGTTGGGATTTTTTTAAGTCTGTTTTATCTTTTGAATCCCACACAGAAATAGAATAATAATGGCATATTAATACAACTAAGCAGTTATACTAATATACTTGAAAGCGGTAGTCAGGTCATTTTTTTTCCTGAAAAGACCCAGACAGTAAATATTTTAGGCCTTGTGGGCCATGCAGTGACTCACATGTACCAATGCAGCTCAAAGGCAGTCATGGGGGGGAAAGGTAAAGAAACCAGCAAGACTATATTCCAGTAAAACCCTATTTACAAAAACAGGCAGGAGGTCATAGTTTGCCAACCCCTGATTAACAGCATAATTGAGACTGTGGACTTGCCAAATTACCTATTACTCATAGGCATAGAAAGCAATTTGCCTAATGACAGTGTCCCAAATGTACAAGCTGAGTAGCAAGAGGGAGTAAAACAACTTTGAGACAGTCGATCTTGCCAAACCAACTATGTGAGAGTCCATTTTAGATTCTTATCTTTCTTTTACAGATAAGGAGGCTGAGACTGAGACTTTACCATATGTTTCCCAAGACCAGGAAAAATATGGTAAGATCCATTTCGTTAAATAACAACTTAGATTTATTTCACAGGGACTAGCAGGGAAGAGGTATGAGAACTCCTGACTGGTTAACATCCAAAGTGAATGCCAAGGGCCCTCTCTTCATACTATAGAAAATGGTTATTTCACTAAAAATCGGCTATTCCACTGGAAAAGGATAAAATCGTGCTTGTTTTGAGGCATGATGTGAGCATAGCTTCACACCTCCCTGACTTCCTCTGTAAGATAAGATTGACTTCTGGTGTTGAAACCTTAGGAGGGATACTTAGGAGGATCACTGAGGAGAGAAGGAAGGAGATTTGCACCCAACTGACCTGGTCAGGTAAATTCAGCTTGACAGTCAACAGAGTAAGAGACTCAATACCCATAAGATGTGGAAGGAAATGGAAGGGGTGTTTTGAGTTCTGTAATTTTAAATCATAGCCTTTTTTTCCTTTCCTTTCCTTTTTTTTTCCTTTCTATCCAACAAAGTTACACACAGAGACACACACATACTCTCTCTCTCTCTCTCTCTCTCTCTCTCTCTCTC